CGTTTCACCCTCCCTTTCAGGGATGAGCCCAATCACGGTTGTGTCATCTGCAAATTTGACAACCCTATTACTAGGGTGAGTAGCGACACAATCGTACGTGTAGAGAATATAAAGGAGCGGACTGAGTACGCATCCCTGTGGTGTTCCTGTGTTAGTCTTGAGCATATTAGAGGTATAAGGGCCCAACCGAACCCTCTGGGGGCGGTCTGACAAAAAGTCCAATATCCACCCACAAAGTGATAACGGAAGCCCCAGATCTTCCAGTTTAGACATCAGACGTTGTGGTAGAATGGTATTAAATGCCGAGCTGAAATCTAAAAAAAGCAGTCTGGCATACCCCCCCCCCCCCCGCTGCTCCAAATGTGCAAGGACGGCATGGAGGGCAATCGCCACAGCGTCCTCTGTCGATCTTTTCATTTTATAAGCAAATTGGAATGTGTCCAGTCCCTCTGGTAGGCAGGCAATGACATAATTTCGTACCAGCTTTTCAAAGCACTTCATGATTATAGGTGTGAGTGCTACTGGACGAAAATCATTCAGATCTTCCGGGTTAGATTTTTTGCTATTGGAACGATAATAGAGGACTTTAGGCAGGATGGAACAATAGCCTGGGCTAGGGATCGATTTAAAATCCCAGTGAAAACTCCTGCTAGTTGATCTGCACAGTCTCTCAATACCCTTCCAGCTACCCCATCTGGCCCTGTGGCCTTCCTTGGGTTGATTCCCTTCAACACCTTCCTCGTCTCTTCTTTTCCACAGAGACTACTGCATTCCTTTGTACTGATGATGGTAATGGTGGTGATGATGGCAAAGCCTTCACAGGGAGTGGTGGTGGTGTTGGTAAAGCCTCAGCAGGTGTTGCTGCAGATGTTACTTCAAAACGGGCAAAAAAGGCATTCAAATCCTCTGCGAGGGATGCCCCTCCCTCATCTGCCAGGGAGTCCTTGGATTTATACCCTGTTAATTCTTGTACACCTTGCCACACCTGCCTGGTGTTGTTACTTTGTAGATGATTCTCCAGCCGCTGTCTATACGCCTCCTTTGCTACACGGATACCTCTCTTTAGATCGGCTCTAGCTAAGCTGTACAGCGACTTATTTCCACTTCTGAAAGCAGTATTTCTTGCCTTTAGCAACCCCTGGACCTCCCTTGTCATCCAGGGCTTCCTGTTTGGGTAGATCTTTATCCGGCGCCTCCGTGTTACATTGTCAGTGCAGAACCTAATATAGTCTAACACTTGCTCAATATGAGTCTCTACATCCTGTTGGGCGAATACCTCCCAATCGGTGTCATGAAAACAGTCTTGTAGTTGTTGGGATGCTTCAGCTGGCCATATTGTAATATCCCTCTTTATAGCTGGAATCCGTTTCCTCAGTGGAATATATTCAGGAGTCAGGAGCAGGGACACATGATCAGATTGGCCTAGATGTGCCAATGGTTCGGCCTTATAGGCCTGTTTGACATTTGTATACAGCCTGTCCAGAGTCTTTTCTCCCTGGTTGCACACTTTATGTGCTGATAGAATTTAGGTAGGACCACTTTCAAATCTGCCTGGTTGAAATCCCCGCATACAAGAAATGCAGCCTCGGGTACTTGCCTTGTTGCCTGCTACTGGCATCATGCAGAAGACCCATTGCCTCATTTATGTTCGCATCAGTTTCAATGTATACTATAGTTATCATTACTTATGTTAATTCTCGTGGGATATATATAGGTCTGCATTTAAGCGTCATAAATTCCACAGTTGGGGAGCAATAGCTAGCTATCACAGCGTGGTTTGTGCACCAGCTGTTATTCACGTATGCACACAAACCTCCCCCCCTTCTTTTACCAGAGTCATCTGTTCTATCATGGCGGAACACTGTATAGCCTGTTAGGCAGTCTGTGATGACTTTCCTCCTCTGGTACCAGAAGTTTTCACTTTTTAGCAATCTAGAGCAGACCAAGGGAGCCAATGGTGCCCTCTCAAATTTGGTATTATTCAGTTTATTGTCAGCTAGCCTTCATAAGCTAACTTGAAAGCACAATGGAGGAGGGCCATATTCCCTCATTTCCTCTCCTTCATGGGGGCCACTCATCAGTGGTGAGCAGGACTGGAGACAAAATTGGATGGAAATTTGCCCAAATCTACACTACCAACACAGGTTGCCATATGTCTGGATTTTCCTGGACATCTTGGCAATTCCTGCCCAAACAGTTTCTGACAGCTGAATCCCGGCTATGTCTGGGAAATTCCAGATGTATGGCAACCCTAATAATTAACAAACAATTATTATTTCTTCCATCTTGTGCTGAAGTGACTTCAAAGCAATCCATTGCAGTCTGTGGCATTCTAACAGGATGGCCCCTCTAGAATTTGTCACATACATACACACATGAATTTGTAACACTGTCTGTGCTTGGCTCCCCGGAGCTTAAATGCATGACCTTTCACACACCCTTTCAAACACCTGCATTTGGAGAAGATCCCTAACTTGGCATGGGGGCGGGGGGGGGGGGGAGAGAAGACCTGAAATACAGGACAAAATTGCATCAATATAGGACAATCCTGCATTACACAGGACAGGTGGCAACCCTAGCTAAGATGGAAGGGCTCTCAGCATTAACACCCCAAGAGATCTTGCTTCTTGATTAGTCACAGCTTTTGATGCATTGTCTCCCAAGATAGACAGATGACAACAACAGGATCCAGCACAGATCAAGCATGTCTCTGCCTCTCCAGCTTCTCAGCCTTCTTTCTGCTCAGCTCACTCACAACACGCTCTCCTAAAATTCTCTCCAGCTGGCAGTTAGGTGAGAGGGGGAAAGCCCTATGGCACAGAGCAACTTCTTTGGTTATGCTGATGAAGGTACTTAAGTGGCCAGCAATGACCATTGGTTTAACAATATAATTCTCTATCTGCTTTTAACTCTTACTAGATACTAGACCCTAAGAATTCCAAGGAACTCAGGGTATCATACAGACTCACCCCTCCAAACCTACAGCAATACTGTCTGAACCAAACCATACAAGACCTAAAGAATTTGTGTTAGGACCTGAGGTGGGGGAGGAATCTGGATCCTAACTTAAAATAGAATGTAAAAGACCAAGCAGGGAAACACTGACAGCCAGGTATTAAGTGTGTGTGTGTGTGTGCGCGCGCGCGCGCTCGTGATGGGCTTCCTCTTCATATGTACATTTATTAATTTCATTTGAAGTCCAACAAGGTCTCAAGTCAAATCTCAGGTCTCAAAGCACTTAAATTGATGCAGTCCCAAAGCATGACTATAGTGAAATAGACAGGTTCTGGGTGCCTTTTCCTTCTGCATACTTCCCTGCTGCAGTCTTATGGTGGGGCTTCTGTTACGGATTATTATCCTCCCCTTAAGCATCCCTGTTTATTATTCTTGCCACTGTTGGTAATTTTTTCTCTTGCACTTCCTTCCAAAGAAGCCCAGGGCAGCAAACAACACAGCGATAAAACAACACAGATTTTAAAATAATCAAATTAAAGCATGTAAAAGCAGTTGCATATGCTCACAGCTAATAGCTTCAAGGTATACACTTTTCAAAGCATTCACCATTAAAACAGGCATTTTGTATGCATCTTCTATATGTTTTGTGCATTGAAAATACATTCCATAGTCTGCAGAAGTGCATCATCTGACTGGGGGTTGTTTTCTGATCCACAACAAGCATGTTTGGAAGCATAGGATTAAGGCCGTCCTCTATGGAAAACAAGTCAAACGAATTCCTACTCCATTCCAAAGTGCAAGGTGTGGTTGACCTTGGTCTGATCCAGCACTTTGACATTCTCACATGCCCTGGATCTACAGTTGGTATGTAAAACTGTCTCAGTCAGTGAAGGTTGGTGCCCATTGGGGCTGATCGGGCAGAAAGCAAGGAGACCAACAGTAGGTGGAGTCAGAGTCTATTGCTGGAGGAGCCAGAGCCAATAATGACTGCTCCCTGCTTAAAATGGGGGGTGCCCTTTGCGTGGACGCGCGCAGCCCCTAGATCTGGAGCGGCTCCAACAGCATAGGCTTGGATTTGCCTTCCCTCAGGTGGGATACCTGGAGGTCTCCGCCTACCTCAGTCAGTTGTCCAATCCCACCTGGGGGAAGCGTTGCCAAGGAGACCAGGCCAGGTAGGGGAGGGATTACCTGCCCACACAATAGAGGGAGGATCTTACCTGGGAATCCTCACTTGGCTCCAGAGCTTCTCCCACCCTACCCACCCTCAGTTAATGTCTTATTTTGCAGGTTAACTTTTCTTCACAGGTTTTGCAGGTTAACTTTTCTTCACAGGTATGCGGGTGCTGCTACGTTAAGGTCGCTGTTAAAGGGCCGGAAAGGAATTTCCCTGCATTGGCAGGTTTCGCCTTTCCCGTAGCAAAACGTCACAACTTTGGCGGTATCAGGCCTTGGGCGGAATCCTTTAGTCCATCTTCCTCTTTGCGGCGGCGATACCAGGGTTCCCCGTTAAAGGGGTTTCTGAAGTGAGGCTTTGACAGTACGCCGAAAGGTCATCATTGCTCTCCCCTGCGGCGGTGGCGTAACAGGGGCGGCTATCTCTGCTTGAACATATGTTCTCCAGGGCCGGCCCATCCCCCCCACACACACTGGATAACCCTGATGCTCCCTAGGTCCCCGGCTGGGGACTGGGGAGGGAGAACGCCCAATGCCTGAGCCAAGGTCTACCCACATTTGAAATTTAATAAAGTTGTGGCCAATTTAACCCCATAGCACGTTGTCTTGAGTCGTTATTCCACATGACGGGGGGACGACCGCTTGGGATCTGGGGACTCCGCCTGTCCACGCAATAGATGGAGATAACTACATTGAGACTAAGGAGGTAACGGCTGACAGCCAGTGACAGCCAGCTGGAAGTAAGGTGGGGGATGACTGATGGCAAGCTGAGCTTGGTGGAGCAATGTCCAATTTACTGGGTGTAGCAATACAACAGGAAATACTAAAGTGGCTGACAGCTCATACTGTCTGCTGACTCTTCCATTCTGGCCAAACCATTTCCAGTTTCTCTTTTGAGCAGTAAGTTCCCATGGTCCAGCAGCTGAGATCAGTTTAGACTTCCCAGTAAGGTGATTGTGAAAAGACGTGCTTCCCTGCTCGTTCTCTGAGCTTCTGTAGAAGACTCTTGTAGAGATTGCCTTGGAGGGGAAGACCATATTCAAAGCTAGAGATATCGAAGGAGAGTTTCCAAGGAGGTGGAATCAAGGTGGAGAAAGACCCCTCTCGACATGGAAGTTCTTTTTCTCGTTCCTGTGCTAGGTATGTCTTGCTACTTTCTGATAACCCCAGCCTCTGGTCCTGCTCTGCTCTGTTCTGTCCACTTACCATATTTGAATAGAGAAGCACTGGCAAGAATGAGCGATAACGGCAGCAACAAACACACCAGCTGCCTCAGAGGAAAAGGGTCTATTGCTTTTTATAAATTTCTTCACTTCCTTTCTTTCTCTGTCAACTGCTGTCATCTTTCTCTTCTCTTATCTTCTTTCACTCTCTGTCCTTCATCGCCTGCCTTGTCTTTGTTTTCTCTCTCCTTTCTCCTTTCTCCTCTCACCTTCCACTTTTCCTGTTCTTTCTCTGTTGTCACTTACGGTCATCTCAACTTTCACAATCTTCCTGTTTCCACTTCCTCTCCACTCATACAGTTTTCTACATTCTCTCTACCTTCTCAAACTTTTCTGTACTTCAGCCTTCTACTTCAATTCACCTGCTCATTATTGCCTTTTTATCTCCCTCTCATTTCCCTTCTTCCTTTGCTCACTTTCTTCCATCTCGTGTCATCTTCACTGCTGCCTTTAATTCACCTCTCTGTCATTTAGGACCCCTCCTAATATCAGCTTTCCTGAAATAAAAATGAACAGGGTTTCTGGGAAGGTTCATCACCCTCAGCACCCAATACAGACGGCAGTTGTTATTTGTTGCTCCTTGGTTGAAGTTTGAGGAAACTTCCCAGATTCTGCTACACTGAAGCAACATATTCGGGTAGTTCCATAACAAACAAAAAGCTTTTTTCTCCTTTTTCTACATAATGCCATTTTATAATTCTTTTTAAAAGCAACTAGATAAAACTAACCTTGATTCCAAATCAACACTGAAATATTAAAGATGCAAACTTACTTGAGAACAGGACCAATTAAAATAAATAGGCCTTACTTCTAAGTAGACATGCATAGGATTTGAATGTTAATTTAATTACAATTACTAAGGTTCTCTCTCCCTGGTGAGCTGCATTTCCTTCCCCTTTCCTGTAGGTTTTGTTTTCTTTTTTACATCTTCTGTGGATGCCTTCCCCGCCCTTTCTCACAACTGCCGGTCTGCCTGCCCTCTCCATGTATCAACTTTCCTGAACTCAGATGTACAGAAAATAAAACTGATTTTTTTCCTCTCTCAGTGCCCTCAGAACATAATACAGGCAGAAGTGGAGAGGGGAGGAGATATAAAAACCTCAACAGGACTGAACATAGGTAGAGTTCAGACATAACTACACAAAGCAACAATTTCATCTTATCCAGTATTTTAGGCATGTTTGCCCATTAAGTTCCGCTAGAATCTCCACACCATTTCCCCCCAACCCAATCCTTCTGTTCCAAGCAAATAGAAGTCACTGAATAGCAGTCTTTACTGGTGAATAAACCCTCACATCTCTAGAATTGGGGCTGCCTGGATTCATTGCTCCCTGAGTGTTTCACCACCAACAGCTGCAACCATTCCAGTGCTTCTTTTCTATACAGTTGAGTCCTGTGGCTTCTAGGCTTCACACCACAACCAGCTTTATATGATTCAGTGAGGCTGCAATAGTCAGTTAAATAGCCTCTTCTCAAGCCAGGCAGCGTGTTTCCACTATGTGGGAGCAAGGCTGGGCTGGTGCAAAATAAAGAGGGAACTCTCTCATATAACATACCTTCCAAGTGCCCTGGAAAAAGCATCACATCCTGTATTTTCTCACATAACCTCTGTGGCCATTTTGGGTGTCATGATCTGTCATGCTCTCACCTCAAAGAAACACTTTTCCCGGGGCCACAACCCCACACAGCTCCCAAAAAGTCATGCTTTGGAGGCACGGTACAATATCTTGTGAGGCACGTGTCATGTGAGTCTCCCAGGAACACGTCCTCTTCCAGCTTTGCATTGGAAGAAGTTGGAAGGTAAGACATAAGAAAGGGAAATAAAAGACTGCAGCCTCCAGGTTGGACTGAAGGGTTTGCGTGGAGATGGCAGTTTTTCTGTGACCCGCCTGGCGTGGCCGTGCAGCCGACCTGTGGGTACAGACCCATTGGCTGAAGACCTAAAGCTAAGGTCTAAAGGGATATATTGTTGCAGCCTTCTTGAAGCTATGCAGGTCTGGGGTCTGGTCAATGCTTGGATGGGAGCCTACCTAATACATATGCTCCCTTGAGTCAAATATAACATGTAAATAATCTTCCAGGCTTATTTAACCAGTTCCATCCCTCCTTTTTTATTTCTCTCTTTCAGTTTTCCTGCATCTTGTTCCACAGCCAGCATCATCTGCAGGTAACATTCCAACTTCTTGCCAGTGAGCTGTTGATGTGGAGAAGACCAGAGTGTCTCTAGAGGAGAATCCTTGTCTCTTTTGTGCTCTTTTAGCAACCCAGCACCCCCTCCAGCTGCTTTGTAGTTCCCCCAAGTATGCTAGTAACTTCACTCTTATATGTGGGTACTTTTCAGAAGCAAACTGTACCAAACTTACAAATCCCAGTGCTACCTCCACCCCCCTTTTGCAACATCATTGTGTATTATAAAAGCGAAGTCACCCTCCAAGTGTGAATCCTTATGTAGGTAAAATGAAACATATACAGTGGTAGGTAAAGGTAAAGGTACCCCTGCCCGTACGGGCCAGTCTTGACAGACTCTAGGGTTGTGCGCTCATCTCACTCTATAGGCCAGGAGCCAGCGCTGTCCGCAGACATTTCTGGGTCACGTGGCCAGCGTGACAATCTGCATCTGGCGAGCCAGCGCAGCACACGGAACACCGTTTACCTTCCCGCTAGTAAGCGGTCCCTATTTATCTACTTGCACCCGTGGGTGCTTTCGAACTGCTAGGTTGGCAGGTGCTGGGACTGAGCGACGGGAGCGCACCCCGCCGCGGGGATTCGAACCGCCGACCTTTCGATCGGCAAGTTCTAGGCGCTGAGGCTTTTACCCACAGCGCCACCCGCGTCCCCATATACAGTGGTACCTTGAGTTAAGTACTTAATTCATTCTGGAGGTCCGTTCTTAACCTGAAACTGTTCTTAACCTGAAGCACCACTTTACCTAATGGGGCCTCCTGCTGCTGCCACGCTGCCGGAGCACGATTTCTGTTCTCATCCTGAAGCAAAGTTACTATTTCTGGGTTAGCGGAGTCTGTAACCTGAAGCATCTGTAACCAGAAGTGTATGTAACCCAAGGTACCACTGTACCCATGTTTAGGAGCAAAGCTGCTGGCATGCTTGGGGAAAACTGCAAGGTTTGCAGAAGTAAAAAATATATATATTTAGGAGGGGAGGGGATGGAATGAAAAGTCCTGAAGCAGAGCTGGGCTGAATAAGACAGTTTGCAGAAACACACAAATAAATTTTAAAAGTATGTGGGGTGGGGTGGAGTAACCTGGAACAGGGCAAGGCTAAAACAGAGCACCCCACACTGTGACAGTTCGTTTCGGGTTCCACTTGTTTGCCTGCCACTGAGATCCCTCTGCTTTTCTTCCAGGATCTCTCCCTCCACCCAAACTCTCAGTACAGACAAATTATCCCAAATACTTTGAAGGCGAGAGGATTGTGCTCATATGCTCAGCTTTCCTAAACAGGACAGTGGAGGGATACAGGTTCTTCAATCAGGACGGGCAACAGATTCTCAAAATGGCTGCCGACCCTTATCAAAAGGGCAGACTGATTTTTAGGGCTGAAATGAGCAAGATGGGAAATTACAGCTGTGATTACTGGATCGGGAAAGCTGATACAGAGGTCACATCTGCCCGAAGCAACTCTATCTCCCTACAAGTGAAAGGTAGGTTTCTAGTTCCTGGGACGTTGGTGGCCTGTTCCAATGCTGAGAAGCCTTAGTGATGATCTGTCCGATTCATTTTCTTCTCCTCTGCCACTTGCTACATCTGGTGTCCCCAATTTGTTGTCCTCTGACACCCCTCTTGATGACTGACAAGGGCCCATGCCCTCCCAGTTTTATCATTCTTTCTTTTTTAAGTGGGTTGTTTGGCTGGGGGTGTCCTCATTGCTAGCCGGTGGCCTGTTTCTTTTGTTTGTGCTTTGTTTTGGTACACATGTAGATATTTTGCATGGCTTTTTTTTGCGGGGGGGGGATAGAGTTTCTAGACATTGTCCGTTCCTCCCCTGTGAAATGGGATTTGTTGTTGTTGCTGCTGCTCATGACTAAGAAATTGTCATTTCCCAATGTGAGCCTGGACCCAGAAAGTCTGGGGACCCCAGTGTTAGAAACCTACAGCCTTGCTCAGGGTGGGGTAAAGGTAAAACTAAAGGTACCCCTGACCATTAGGTCCAGTCATGGACGACTCTGGGGTTGTGCGCTCATCTCGCTCTATAGGCCGAGGGAGCCGGCGTTCGTCTGCAGACAGCTTCCGGGTCATGTGGCCAGCATGACTAAGACTGGTTCTGGAGAACCAGAGCAGCACATGAAAACACCATTTACTATCCTTTATCTACTTGCACTTGACGCGCTTTTGAACTGCTAGGCTGGCAGGAGCTGGGACTGAACAATGGGAGCACACCCCATTGTGGGGATTCGAACTGCCGACCTTCCGATCGGCAAGCCCTACCTAGGCTCTGTGGTTTAGACCCAGGTGGGGTAGAGGTGGATAACTATGCAGAATACAAATGGCATGATTAGAAGAGTTTGGATTTGATATCCCGCCTTTCACTCCCTTTAAGGAGTCTCAAAGCGGCTAACATTCTCCTTTCCCTTCCTCCCCCACAACAAACACTCTGTGAGGTGAGTGGGGCTGAGAGACTTCACAGAAGTGTGACTGGCCCAAGGTCACCCAGCAGCTGCATGTGGAGGAGTGGAGACTCGAACCCGGTTCCCCAGATTACGAGACTACCGCTCTTAACCACTACACCACACTGGCAAATCACAGGTTTAAAATAAAGAACAAAATAAATGCCTTGGGTGGAAGGTGGCAGCCATCAGCTTAATCTTTCCCTCCCTAGAAACAATCTCAGCAAAAATCAGGCAAACACACATATACACTATTAGCTTTCAGGTGGGGGAACCTCTCACTGTTATCTAACACACTTTAAGGAGGACCCTTTCTGTACTTTTGTAGCCCTGAAAGTGTAGAATGAACAAACGTATTGCAAATGCACTCATTTGCTGCAAAAATAAAGCAAAAATAATACAGTGGTACCTCGGGTTAAGTACTTAATTTGTTCCGGAGGTCCGTACTTAACCTGAAACTGTTCTTAACCTGAAGCACCACTTTAGCTAATGGGGGCCTCCCACTGCTGCCGCGCCGCTGGAACACGATTTCTGTTCTCATCCTGAAGCAAAGTTCTTAACCTGAAGCACTATTTCTAGGTTAGCGGAGTCTGTAACCTGAAGCGTATGTAACCTGAAGCGTATGTAACCCAAGGTACCACTGTTATAATAACCTTTTGGGAAAATTATAGCTTCAGGTGGCTATTTTCAGCAGAAAAAAACAGTGCAGAAGTGTTGTGCCTGCAAGGTGCCCCCGTCAATATGATGGAGGGAAGGAAGCTTTGCTGTATATATATGTGCTTCTCTAACTGGAATAATCTCTCAAGAGCTCAATGGCCTCTGCACACTAAGTATGACTTAGGTGAATATTAGTCCTTTTTTATGTTTTCAATTTTTTTACTGCAGAGAAGAGAAACTGAGTTTGCAGGAAGTTTCCCAGCCGCCCAAATAAAAAATGTTTAGGCAACTACTTTCATTCTTAGTTATCAGTTTCGGTGAAAAGAAACTAAACTTGTTGGGAAAATGTGGAAAGGAGCAGCAAAACCACTAAGTGGCAGCAAAGGCTAGGTTATGCAACCTGAATGCTCCTTTTGACTCTTTTCCTGCTAAGCTTCAAATTCAAATTTCCGGGTTGTTGCCAACTATTTAATGAGCCCAAATGAGCCGTGTTAATTAGCTATTCTGAGTAGTGCTAGCGTTGAATAAAACCCCCAGATCCCTTTCATTGTACGTACAAAGTTGGATAGGAACATTTTAGTGCAACTCTGAGACAGGAGTGTGAACATGTTGGGAATGTGGGCTTGGGAGAGCACATCTTTGTTTGGAATTCTATCCTGCCATGTGATACCCAAAATCCTCCTGACACAGTGCATGTGGAAGGCGTTGGGGCACCGCTGCTGATGGCTGTAAGTTGCCCACAGCTCACTTCCATAAAGCACCATTCTCAACACTCAAGCCTGCTAGACCTTTATCTTGGTGTTGGACGCTAGCATCACGTTCTCCCATACCCTTTCGGAGAGGTGAGCCATTGCCGTAGCTGCCTTGCCAATACGCTGATTATGGTGGAACCCAAGTGGAATCCAACACTGTCTACTATCTCAAGTGTATAGTCACCAGTGCTGATGCATGGAGTGCTGGTGACATCCTGACCCAAGATGTGGGTCTTTATCTGTATCTTTAGGCACACTTTGCCCTAATCTATGTATTTTTGTACACATCCCTTGGCTAGAGAACCGCATTTCAAAATTCAGAGAAGTGTGGCTGTGTTTTAGTTTTTCTGTAGTTTTAGAAAGTGCAAATCAGTTAGGTTCACCTTTATTTATTTTTTTAATGTTTTTATTAGCAATTTCAACATAACAACATATCAAAACATATCATATTCATTATTTTTCCCCCTTTACCCCCTCAAAGCCTCCCTCCTCCCCAGACTTCCCTCAGCTCCTGTCTCTGATTTCTCAACCCATATTATTCTCTGCATGTTATAAAATTATACAAATCCTCACATTATCTATCTACCATGTTATCAATCAGTACATCTATGTATGTTTATTCAAAACCTGCCAAGGAGTCCAATTCATTTTGTTGTCTTTTTAAGTAATTTGTGAAAAGTTCCCATTCTTCTTTAAAGTCACAGTTGTCCTTATCTCACAGTTTGTATGTCAGTTTGGCCAGTTCTGCATAGTTCATAATTCAGAGAAGTGTGGCTGTGTTTTAGTTTTTCTGTCATATTAGAAAGTGCAAATCAGTTAGGTTCACCTTTAAATAGGAACTAAATCACATTTCTCCTCCACCCTTCAATTATTTCATTGCAAGCCTAAAATCTGATGTCTAAAAATGCTTCCCTGCCCTCACCCTATCTCTCTCTCTCTCTTCCCACCCTCTCTCTCCACCCACCCAACCATTGCAAGCATACTTCAGGGTGGAGGAGTTTAGCTAGCCGCTGTCTCTGTGTTACACGAAGCAATCTCAACCCTGGGCGTTTATCTTTCTTTCCCAGAAGCCCCGGAAGCCCCCTCCCTCTCTTTAAACCCCAGCCTCCTTGAGTACAACCTGGGAGATAATGTCAGCCTTGTGTGCTCAGCTCCGCCTGAAAGAAAGGAAGTCAAGGAGTTCCAGTTTTATAGCGACAAAGAGGAAATATCAGTTGTGCCTCCATATGGCAATGTCTACACTCACAACATGAGCATCATGGAACCCAAAGATGTGGGAAGCTTCATGTGTGGCTACGTAGTGGACCTCTCTGGAAGAAAAGTTATTTCAAAGAAGAGTAATTCTGTCACCATTGTTCAAACAGGTAATCTCCAGATTTATTTATTCATCTGCCTATCTATCTATCTATCATCTATCTATCTATCTATCTATCTATCTAATCTATCATCTATATCTATCATCTATCTAATTTATTTATTTACCTGCCTTTAGCCAATAAAGGCTCTCAGGGCTGCTTAGGGGGAAAAGATCAATATTAAGATGGGCCCTGCCCTCAGACTTACAATCCAAAAATAAAAAAGACACGACACGCAAAGTAAAAGGGAGTCAGAGGGAGAAGGAAAATGCAAGCTGAAGTAAACGTTCTTAAAGTTGCAGATCTTATTGCACAGTTAACAAAATTAATTCTTCACTGGTGGCTGCTTCTTGTCTTCTCATTGATAAAGAACTTGCTTTGTTTTGAAGCACTCTTCCTCCACAGATCACATGTGAGAGCAGAGCCAATGCCCAGCCAGGAGGGTAGGGCAGCTTCTACCACACAGTTATTTCTCAGACATGCTGCTTGAGTTGCATCTGACAATCCCCACTGGAAATGGTTCCCTTCCATCACAGATGCACAAACCTTTGACTGGATTTTTCCAGCTGGCCGTGGGGAAAGCAGGGAATGGGGCAATGCTATCTCTCTTGCAAACCTATCTTCCATAGATTTGGTTGCGAGATCAAGAATTGATAAGAAAGGTAAATCACATGGCGAGATTCTGTAGAAATAACACTCGGAGAGTCTGCCAAAATGACTAAGAAGCATTGGGTGGCCCAAACCAATATCCACAAAGTCTTATCTGATTCTGAATAAGAGGACCCAACTTGCGTGAAATGTGGCATCTTTTCATTACACTCTGTAACCAGAAACTCTTTTTCTTAGTCAACGGGAACTTAGTCAACTTTTCCAGCTGGAAACGGATGGTGGCCATTGGTGGCTTCTTCTTCACCATTAACAGCCTCATCTTCCTCATCTCCCATTTGTGTTTTTAAACCACAGGTAAGTGAAATGTGTAAACATTTCCTTTTGAACATGTACTTTGGAGCACGTGTGGCCCAATACATTTTTTGGGTTTAAGGGTTTAAGATGATTCAGTTTCACTGAAAACCACTGTGGTGTTAGATGTGTGATGGTGAGGCTTCCGAGACTTGAGCCTTCCATCATGCAAAGCAGAGATGAGAAACCGTTGCTGGACTATGTCCCCTACCATCCCAGATTATTGGCTTTGCTAGCTGTTGAAGTCCAGCAACATCTGGGTGGCAACAGGTTATCCATCCCTGATTGAGCCCAGAGTTGTCTTCCTTGATTGGCCATGACATTCCAGATCCCTTTCTCACCACATGTGGAGGCTGCGGGGAGTGGGGGCATTGCCTCTGAGGCTTTCTGTGTGGCAAGGGATTCAGGATCATGACATAGGGATAGTTATATCTAAACCATTGGGACGTGGGTGGTGCTGTGGGTTAAACCACAGAGCCTAGGACTTGCCGATCAGAAGGTTGCGGTTCGAATCCCCGCGATGGGGTGAGCTCCCGTTTCTCGGTCCGTGCTCCTGCCCACCTAGCAGTTCGAAAGCATGTCAAAGTGCAAGTAGATAAATAGGTACCGCTCCAGTGGGAAGGTAAATGGCATTTCCATGTGCTGCTCTGGTTCGCCAGAAGCGGCTTAGTCCTGCTGGCCACATGACCCGGAAGCTGTACGCCAGCTCCCTCGGCCAATAAAGCGAGATGAGTGCCGCAACCCCAGAGTTGGTCACGACCTAATGGTCAGGGGTCCCTTTACCTTTATATCTAAACCAGCCTGGGTCCCAGCACCTCTCTAGCAAGCTTCACTTTATTTATTTATTTATTTATTTATTTATTTATTTATCCGAACTGGTCCCATTCCCAAAGCATTCCACCTCAAGCGTCACAACACTGGGAGTTGGGGAGGGAAATGGTTGGTCTGGGTTGCATCTTTGCCTTGAGGTTATGATCCAGGGAAGTCTCTCATCTCTCGCTATTTTTAAAATCATGTTTAGGTCTCCTCTTCAGGTGACTATAATAGTCATCTTTGTCCGACTGATGACAGTCCGACCTCAGCTCTTCATCAACCCGATTGTGGATTCATTCACCAAATGAGCCAGCTTCCCCCATAAATCACATAACCAGGAGGAAAAATCTGGATCCATCTTCCACAAAAGAGCACAAACAGAGGGCTGTGGGGTGGAAACCAAGTTCTGGGGCATGACATTTGCTGGGGAAATCATTTTGGTTGCTATGTCTCTACAGGCTTTATCACATATTATAAGTGACTTGCTGCAGCAATTGTTTCAGGGGAGGGGGGGAAATTGATGGCTTTGAACAATCATTTTGTTGTGTAAACCTGTCACAGGAATGAGGACCTTCTGGCCCTGCAATGTTGCTGAATTTCAATTTCCATCAGCTTCAGTCAGTTTCCTGATCCCTGCTCTAACATGTGGCTTCCCCCTCCTCCTTTTTTAAAATGAAAAAACAAAAACCAATTCATCGAAAGCAATGACTACAACTACTCAGGTCCTTCCAACCTTTGGGACAATTGCTTTGAAACTTGTACTTTTCTTTTCAACATTCTCCTCTCAGTATTAGTGGCTGTCTGATACACCTAGATCAGCCCTAACATTTGTAAATATATTTCACTCCCTCAATAAACATGAACAATTTTTACATTATTATTATAATCATTTTGCTAAAAACAACAACAGAAAGAAAGAAAGAAAGAAAAATCAGTACCACACTAGTTGCAATGAAACTAGACAGGGTGTCACTATGGGAAATGAGCATGCTCTCTATCAAACAAACATGTCTCTTTCTGGATTCTTTCTAAGTATTATTATTATTATTATTATTATTAACAACATATTATTAACATTATTAACATTGAAGATCCCAGGGTGGTTTACAATGCCTACTAATAAATACAGATAGTATTCTGCAATCAGAGACATATTCCTGGCTGCTATTTGGTGATCCACTCTTCACTCCCCTTTTTCATTGTGTATGAAAAGGTTTAAAAAGTAATGCCTGCGCTGTCTTCATCACACTCAGTGCTGCTAGCATTTTGCAGCAGTTCACTTTCCACCAAATACTCCGTTGTCCATCTCACTATTGTCTGCTATGCACACACACACTCACTCAAGAAAAATCTGGGAAAATGTGTCATCTGACTGGGTGGTTGTGTTCTGGACTGAAACAAGCAAGTTTGGAAGTGCCAGACTGAGTTAGTCTATCAAAAATGGATCTCCCACTGGATTGATTGGAACTAAGGTGGCAGGCAGGTGGAGCCTGGCTAACAGCAAGGTAAGTTTGGTGGGGCAGTGACCCATTTGCCCCAATGCACCAGCCTCCACTGGCTCCAATTCTCTCCTGCAACAAAACCTCTTCTCTCTGCATTTCTGCTGGCTGGAGCAGATCATGTGTTGAGCATACGAACAAAACAGGAATTATCAACACAGTTAGCAGGTCAAGTGCTGACTCCTCTGAAGGAAAGCTTTGCTTCTGCACATGACTGTGGCATGATGGGAAGTCTTGCTTCTAAGCTTTTCTTCTGCACATGCTGCACAACCCGTTCTAATACCAAGACATTCCCTCATCTCCCTAGAATGTTCAGTTCATATTGAGTTCATGAAAACATTATACTCTGACCTGTTCTTAATGCATAGTTGACCACATCTACGGAACGCGATTGTTATATTCTTTCATGTTATGATCAATCATTAGTAATTGTTTTAGTCTTGCTATATCAATCACTAGTTATAATTTAATTAGGAGGTTTCATGCCTGTCTAGTTCTGTGCTCCCTTTCCCAACCTTTAATCTATTGGTGATTACTGTAATCTTTGCTTTGTACTTGTGTTAACCAATCAGCAATAAGCACATATGTGGCAAATGCTGTAAGATTCAATAAAAGGGACTCTCCGAGACTTGCTCTAGAGATGCCTCCCGTATGAGACCTTGCCATTCGTCTGTCGTTTATTTCAACCCAACACTCCTCTAGTCTGGCCAGACCTATTTCCATTTTCTATTTTAGGCAGCAAAGTCCCTCAGTCCAATGGCTCTTTCCCCAGTAATGACTGCATTTCCCCTCTGGGCGATTATGCAAATATGGGCTTCACTGATGTTCCTCCACCCTCCTGTAAAGACACTTTAAGGGTCTGTCTTGGAGAGGAAGGGTGATATAAAAACTGGCGATACCAAGTTTCCAAGGAGGTGCAGTCCAGGTGGAGAGAGATCATTCTCAACATGGAGGTTATTCTTCTGGTTCCCATGCTAGGTATGTTGCTACTTTCTTTCTCCCCCAACCTCTTCTTCTACCACTCCTTTCTCCTGGGTTTTAATTCCTCCTTTGATCCATCATAAAAGAATCATCTTGATAATTTTTTAAACTGGCTTCAGGGCTAGCAATTGCTGAGAACACGCTCTGACCCATAGGAGCCAACTCCTAGGAGGTGAGGGGTCTTTGGACCCCCCAACAAAATATTTGAGGGGGCCACCCCCCCAAGTTGATGGGCATTGCCATTCAAGTGGTGTGTGTGCACAATATCACAGCCCTGCAGGTATTTAAGCTTTCCTTGGGCATAGCGCCAAGTGTCACTACTGGCCAGTTGGCACTGTGCCCAGTGGAACGCCCCCTAAATTCCTGCTCCCTAAATTGGCCATTATGGCAGCAGGAGGATGATCCAGCCTGCTAGAGGCCAGTTCACAAATGAGATACAGTGCCAGCCCGCCCGAGGAGGGCAAACAGACTTATCAGTTGCATCCTCACTAGTGATAGCTGAGAATTTAAATTCAGTTCATGTTAATAGGTGAACCGACCTAATTCACATGTTCCCAAACAAGACATGAAACAGAAACACAACCATCCTTCAAAATTCACATTTTCCAAATTTTGAAGGGCAGTTCTGCAGCCAAGCTACGCGTGCAAAAGTACATGCGTACAATATGCATGTAAGCATTCTTATGAATGCATGTATATAAAAATAAACGTGGACGGGGGAATCATGCAAAATGCATCATATTATTGAAAACCGTTTTCCACAAAAAGGCATATTAAGTTAATTGGATACAGAAAATGCTGCATATTAAGAGAAACTAAAATACTGCTGAAATTTCATGAGGATTGGGGGGGCTAGAAACCAGATGTGGAAATGTGCGAAGCAGAACTTAACAGCTGAGTAATGAGAAGCAGCTAGTAACCACAAATGCTCATCTTTCATCCTGGACTATGTCATGGTGTGTATGCAAATATACAAGTCTGTTATTTCTACCCTCGTCATCCTTTCTGTCAGAATAATAAACACACACAGAAAGAGAGGGGGGGCTATGGGGCCTCTTACACTTGACATTCTCTAGGGCTCAGCATACCTGGTCCTCCTCTGCCTTGCTATCACTGCCAGCGTTCACCCACTATCGCTGTACAAGCAAGCAACAACAACAGTGAGGGATTGACAGCAGCGCCTCCCACCTTCCTTGTGCTTCTCCTCTGGGTGGTAATGTGGATGAGGCTCAGAGGCAACTGGAATGGGCAGCAGTGATTTGGGCAGAGGGAGGAAGAGAGCCCACTGAGAGACACCCTCTTCCCATACAGGAGGAGACAGAGAGTCCATAAGGGGGCACTGTGGGAGCTTTGCTCATCCCTCCTAAAGAAAATCGAGAGCCTGGCTAGAGGTCTCTTCTTTTTAGGAACATCAGAGCAAAAGTGTGTAAGGATTGCCTTGGTGGATAAGACTTGGGTATGTGCTTTAACACTCTTTAATTGGTAACACCAATTGGTAACACCCATATGGTGCAGCCAAAGCCTGCAAAGTTGAACTTCTCAGTCGGACCATTCCTGTGTTATGTCCAGTCACTGCGATACTTGGGAGAGGCCCTCTTAGTAGGTCCTTATGCTCATGAGGTTCATCTTACATGCGCTAATAAAAGGACACCTGAGTGTGGTAGCACCTGTCCTTTTGAAGTGCCAGAAAACATCAGGCAGATACCTCCAGCATCATCAAAACTCATCCATCTTTCCAAGGGGGCTGATTCAGCATACTTGACATTTAATTTATCGGACCTACTGATTTGTGATGCGTTTTGTACTTATTTCAAGAATGTGATTTTTGTTCATACTATGCTCTTTACCATAATTATCTTTTCCCCCGTAATGTTGACAACATAGTTTTGTTTTGTGGGGGCTGAATAATGCATAGGGATTTGATGCTCCAGCCTTCCTGAAGCTATGCAGGTCTCAGAGTCTGGTCAGTGCTTGGATGGGAGCCTACCAACGAACCTTACATGTGCTCCCTTGAGATAAATATAACATGTAAATAATCTTCAGATCAAATCAGTTGAAACTTCCAGGCCTATTAAACATGCCTCATCCCTCCTTTTTACTTCTCTCTTTCAGTTTTCCCTCATGTTGTTCTACAGCCAGCATCATCTGCAGGTAACATTCCAACATCTCCACAATGAGTTGTTGATGTGGAGAAGACAAGAGTGTCTCTAGAGAAGAACACTTTTCTTTTGTTCAACCCTTAGAGCCAACTTCCCCAACCTGGTGCCCTCCAGCTGTTTCAGACTACAACTTCCATTATCCTCTGCTGATCATACAGCATAAAAGTAGCGAATTTTGACATTTTTATTGCAGAAATCACACTGTGAGGAAAATCAAATTCCACTTGTCAAATTTGACCCACAAGGCCAATACTGATAAAGATCTGGCCTGTGATGCCAGAAAGTTTCCCACTGACCCCTAGAGCAGGACTTGTGATATCCAGGTTCAAATCCCTTCTCCAGCCGTGAAGCTCAGTGCGTGATGTTGGGCCAATCAGTAACAGACCCTCCAAATGTCCCTATTTTCCAGATATGTCCCTGATTCAGAGAAGCGGTCCTGGTTTCTGATTTGATCCTGGAATGTCCCACTTTTCCTTAGGATGTCCCTATTTTCATTGGAGAAATGTTGTGGGGTATGCACTAACTCTCAGCCTGACCTATTTTACAAGGTTGTTGTGAAGTGAGGGAAAGTGTGGTGTATGCTCAATTGGTTTACCACAGTTTTCCCTCTTGTATCCTGGATGAGTACATTCAGCGAGTGCTTATAGGGGATATTCCAAAATATGACTGTCCACACCTGTAGTCTGAAGTGGTACAGTCCCGAATCCCCCCACCTTAGTCTTCCTCCTCATTTTTGTGCAATGTTGCTCCAAGTTTCCATGAAGAGACTGTAGAAAGCTTCTAATTCCCAGGACAGCTTATGTATTGTAACAGAATTCTATATACTAACAGTGATCTCACTCTCAATGTGTGGGTCCTAATATAGCGAAAACGACACCAGAAAAGGGAAGTTACCAGCAGGCACTGGGGGAACCTCACGTTTGCAGAAGTATAATAAAATATTTCAGGAAAAGCACGAGGGGGAGAAATGGAATGAAGCATTCTGTAAGGGATCTGGTCTGAATCTCATGGTTTGCAGAATTTTTAAGAAGCATGGGGGGGTGGAGTAACTTGGAAAAGAACAAGGATAAAACAAAGCACCCCACACTGTGACAATTCATTTCAGGTTGCTCTTCTGTGCCTGCCACTGAGATCCCTCTGCTTTTCTTCCAGGGGCTCTCCAACCCCCCAAACTCTCGGTACAGCCAAATTATCCCGAATACTTTGAAGGTGAGAGGGTTGTGCTCATATGCTCAGCTTCCCCAAATGAGACGGTGGAGGGATACAGGTTCTTCAATCAGGATGGGCAACAGATTCTCAAAATGGCTGCCGACCCTTATCAAAAGGGCAGACTGGATTTTAGGGCTGAAGCAAACAACACGGGAAATTACAGCTGTGGTTCCTGGATGGGGAAAGCTGACACAGAGGTCACATCTGCCCGAAGCAACTCCATCTCTCTACAAGTGAAGGGTAGGTTTCTAGTCCCTAGGACATCAGTGGTTTTGTGCCAGAAAACCCCTTGGGGCATATATTAGTTTCCTTCCGACTTCTACTTTCATCAGGGAAGCAGTTCTAGGGAAAGTTTTCGATCTGCATGGGAGATTCAACCTGTATTCAGAGGAGGTGCTCTGTAGGGCCAGCCTACCCATGAGGCAATGTGAGGTGACTCCCTCAGGCAGCAGAATCTACAGGGGCAGCAGATCTGGCCTCCCAAGAATGTGTCAGCCACTGCTGCCTCCACAATGACAGCTGTGGTGTCCTCCTTGTGGGCTGGATCTGCCACCTACTTGGCTGCTGCCTCGCAATGCCAACTCTATAGCAGTCTCTTGGTGAATTGGAGGTGCTGTTCCCATCCATGTTCCCTGTGTAGATCTTCACTAGGACTAGAGAAATGGACACCATTTTGTGGTTTGCCTCAGGTGCCAAATTGTCTTGGGCCAGTCTGGATGCTCTGCTATAGCCATTGCATTAACGCTGATCAGCAGAACCTGGCCAGAACTTCATGGACTACAGCAGCAAATCCTAACCACACCAGGTAGCAGAAAATACCAATTTATGCAGTCTCTGTGCTTATTTTGACAGTTCTCTGCCTGTAAAGTTATTTGAGAGGCCTGTTTTTGTGCAAGCCATTAACTGAATGTAGATGGATTATCTGGCTGCAGAACTGCATTGCAAATTTCAAAGGGTGTGAGAGGTTCGGTTAGCATGTGGTTTCAGAAAATGCAACTGGATCAGATTTCTTCCCCATCCTTTGCGTCCGTTCACCTTGTCAAAAATTAACCTAAAAACAGACATCTGAATCTGCATCCTCTCTCAATTTCTCTCTTCCCAACCAACCATTGCAAGCATATTTGAGGAGTTAGTATAGCTGCTGGCTCTGTTACATAAAGGAATCTCAACCCTGGGTGTTTATCTTTCTTTCCCAGAAGCCCCGGAAGCCCCCGCCCTCTCTTTGAACCCCAACCTCATCAAGGACAACCTGGGCAATTCGGTCAGCCTTGTGTGCTCAGCTCCACCTGAAACAAAGAATCTCAAGGAGTTCCAGTTTTATGGCGACAGGATTAGCGTCACAGCTGTGGCTTCATACGGCAACACCTACATCTACAACATGAGCATCATGAAGCTCAAGAATGTGGGACTCTTCAGGTGTGGATACATAGTGCATCTTTCTGGACGGAAAGTTATTTCAAAGAAGAGTAATCCTGTCACTGTCGTTGGACCAGGTAATCTTTGGGTTTGTTTGTTTGTTTGTTTGTTTATTTATGGTATTTACACCCCTTTGCCAAAAAAGCTCTCCCAGAGCTGCTTGGCAGGCAGGGGGGACAGTATTAATACCCACCCTGCCCCCAGGCTTACCTATTTAAAGGGGGGGAAGAGTGGGAGGGAGAAGGGGAAAACAAGCTTAAGCAAACGCTCCTAAAGTTGCAACTCTTATAATGTAGTTTGCCCAATCTACAAGGACTTAAGAGCAGCCTTGTTCAAAAATTTAAATATCCCAGGTGAGAGGTGTTTGATTAGCTGTTTATTAGGGGACAGGTCCCCCTACACTTCTGAAAAAGTGCTTGTTTTGCATTTAGGGTGGCAGTTTTAAGGAGAAAAGTTTGTGGGATGGGTAAGCTAAATTCTTCAGGGGAGCAAAATCTTATCTGACAGAATGCCTGCCTTTAATAATTATTTTAACTGTGCAGTGTATTTTATTCTTCCTAATGCATTTGTTTTATGTATTTTTTCATAATGGCTTTCGCTACACAGATAAATAATAATATTCATATTCATATAATACATTTACCCTCCTCCATTACTTATGTCAGTGGGGGTTTCAGCCTCCCAAAAAACAATCTGCCCTCCCCAGATCAGACCCAGGAGCAGAGCAGGTGACCATGTTCCATCCAGGAGGAAGGAGTAGCTCCTACCGAATCGTAATTCCTCATAAACGCTTCCCTTCTGCTGCTTGAATTTCTCAGGCAGTCTTTGGGGAAAGCATGAGTAATGCTATCTCTCATGCTCATGTAATTCTCAGGTTTTGAGATCAGGATTAGATAGGAACAATGAATCACACAGGGCAATCCGATAACAATCTCACTGATAGGAGTCTGCCAAAATGACTAACAGGCATTCTGAGGCCCAAACCGGAATTACGAAGCCTTATCTGATTCTGAAAAAATGGCACCCGACCTACTCAGCAAAATGTGGCAACTTTTCATTGTACTCTGTAGCCAACAGCTCTTTTTCCCCTTGTCTACTTAGGCACCAGATGGGAACGGATGTTGGCTATTGGCGGGTCCTTCTTCACCATCAACAGCTTCATCTTCCTCATCTCCCACTATTGTTTTTAAACCACAGGTAAGTAATGCACTTTCTGCAGAAAATCCCCATGGATTAAAGGATTTCCTTCCCCCCCACACACTTTAGGAAGAGTACTTTGGGACAGGTGTGGCCCAAAACATTTTTTATGGTTGGGGTGGGCGGGGGAGAGAATGGCATCACTGCCACCCCAGTCCAAACACACACACACATACGTGGCAACAGTCATTCAGATCTTCGTAACATCCAGATTATATCACTGTAGCACGTGCTACTGAGTCTGGAAACTGCACTCTGGCTTCCAGGTGTCTGGAACAGTTGCTTCAGAACGTAGGAGCCAGATTGTTATCTGATAGGAAGGATACAGCGTGGCGTTGTCTCGTCTCCCGTGGCCGCCTCTTCACTTCCAGGGCCATTTCAGAGTGGCGATCTTGATGCGGAGAGCCCTGAACCAGGTGTGAGGAACCTGGAATCCCTCCAGATCTAGTTGAACTCCATCCGTCACCAACCCCCAGCCAGCATGGCTAGTTCTTAGGGCTGATGAAACCCAGTAATACAGTCAAACCTCTGTTGTCAGACGTAATCTGTTCTGGAAGCCCATACGGCTTCTGAAATGTTCGACAACTGAGGCACGGCTTCCGATTGGTTGCAGGAGCTTCCTGCCCTCAAGCGGAAGCCGTTTCGGACGTTCGGCTTCCGAAAAACATTCAAAAACTGGAGCATTTACTTCCGGGTTTTGGGCGTTTGGGAGCCAACCCGTTCCAAAATGGAGGTGTTTGGGATCCAAGGTTTGACTGTAGCTGGAAAACCACAGGCTCCAAACTAGCCTCCCTCCCTCTCTCTCTCTCTCTCTCTCTAGCTTCAAGTTATTATTTTTGCTACTGTGTGTTGTCAAAATCTGTCTGAATTGGTCTGACTCTGAACTCATTCCACTGCAAATGTCACGGGATTTGGAGTCAGGGAAGGAAAGGGTCTTCCTGTGTTGAATTTTTGCTCTGATGTTATCATCCAGGAAAGTCTCTCATCATTTGCTATTTTTAAAAATCATTTTCAGGTCTCCTCTGCAGAGGACTGAAATAGCCCCTTTGCCTGGCTGATTGCAGTTCTACCCTTATCAGCTTCTCTTCAATAAGATTGTGATATATTGCTTCATTCATCAAATGAACTCACTTCCCCCACAAATCACATTTCACAGAGGGAAAACCTGGATCCTCCCATCATGAAAAGAGATTGTTTTGATGGTGTTTCATTTTACGGACATTATTACATTTGTAAACACATATTACCGATTCCATTAACTTGAGCAAAACAATTTTAATATTCTTTTAAGAAAGAGAGAGAAAGGAAAAATCAACAGCACCACAGTAGTTTCAATTAAAATAGATTTTGAGCTTTGTTATGGGAAACTAGCATGCTCTCTTTCAATCAAACCCTTCTTTTTAATGAATTATTTCTAAATCTGCATACTAATAAATACAGTTTGTATTCCACAATCAGAGACACATTCCTGGCTGCCACTGGTGATCCAGTTTTTAACCCGCTCCCATCACAAGGTGGGTGAAAGAGTGTAAAGTAAACACACAGATGCCCCACACTTTTGTCAGGATTCCTATTTGGGTTCCTTTCTGCCCCTGCAAATCCTTCACAAGCCAAGGCTGGTTTGTGCCTAAGGGAGAAACTGCTCTGGGCCACTGTATGACTTGCAATGCTGGCCACCAAGTCATGTGTGGAAAGTTGTCTCCAACAAAGGAATGCTCAGATTAGACCCATTCAATTCAATGGGCTTACATTAGTCATGTTCCTTCATTGAAATGGGTCTATTCTGAGTCATGGATTTCAGCTAATGCTGAGTCACATGCTGAGTGTTTAAACCAGCTGTTTCAGTACTTTCGCAGAACAACATGGGGTAGAGAATGCCTCTCTGTGACTGAATTAACCTTTGAGGTAGGCAAATGCCTACTCCCCCCCTTTTCTTGACTTAGCTTAAACATGCAGTCCATCTTTCTTAAAAACAACTATTTAAAAAGCCACAGCGCTATTTCAAATGCAGGACCAACCCAAGACATTTGGCTGATTGAGGCGAAGGATAAGATGGCGCCTCCGTCTCCAGTAGCTGACTGGCAATAGTTTTTTCTATATTTTATTTTTTCATTTATATCCCACCTTTCCTACAAGGAGCTCAAGGAGACATAAATGTTTCTCACCACAAATGTGTGCAGTAGACTTAGCTGGGAGAATGTGTCTGGCCCAAGGGTCACGCTTCATTGCCAAGCTGAATTCGAACCCTGATCTCCCAGGTCCTAGTCTGACACTAGCCACACTGGAAGTTGCGTATGAATTCAACTCTAAAAGCATGCCAGAATATGAAGCCCAGGTCCAGCTGTGTGACAACAGAGAGGAATGGGCAAGGTCTCTGGGGGTGCTGCCCCACAGACCTGCCATCTGAATTGGCCACCTATCTGTGTCCAACGGTAGGACCGGGTCAGTTCAAGTGGCAGTTTGGCTGCTCTGTCCACATTCCTAGGGCTGGATATGTGACTCAGCATCATTCCTGAGGGCATTCTGTCTCAGGAATGTGGCCTTCAAGCGGCAGCCAGGTTTTGTTTTGTTTGTCTTGAGAAAAAGAAGGAGAAGGAGAAGGAGAAGGCAGCTTTCACCACCATGTATTTAAGGTAAAACGAAAATACCTGAAATTTGCTGGCATTGCCAAAAGTTGCCACATACATATACAATGGTATCTTGGTTCTCAAACTGAATCCGTTCCTGGAGTCCATTCGACTCCCAAAACCGTTCAAAAACCAAGACGCGGCTTCCAATTGGCTGCAGAAGCTGCAGGAGCTTCCTGCACTCAAGCAGAAGCCGCATCGGAAGTTTGGCTTCCAAAACACGTTCGCAAACCAGGATACTTACTTCCGGGTTTGCGGCGTTTGGGAGTCGGTTTGTTCGGGAGCCAAGCCGTTCGAGTACCAAAGTACCACTGTACACTTTTGAAGGAAACTAATGGTCCTCCAAAAGAAGGGAGAGGGAACTTTGACCCAGCTTCACTTTCAGATGCCTACACAAAAGTGAAATAGACAGCTTTCAGCATATTGTAGAGAAAGTGTATCTTGGAGGAGTTCACTCCTATTTTGCTGAAGGGTCTGGGTCCCCCCCCCATTACCAGTGGCAGAGCCACATTGAGCTAGGTCCACCACCACTGAGAGCTAAGATCTCAGAGAGGGGCGGGAAATAATACATTGCTCAGCCACAATTGACCATCAGGGTGGTGTGCGTTGAGTGGGTGGCAGATGGATCTACCTGCCTTGAAGGAGAAGCTGCTGGGGAGCGGGATGACCTCCAATGCACCCTTTTGCCTTTCAACCCTGTGATATTTTGGCCAGCATGCAGACGGACAGCTCACAGTCCTTTTTCTGAGACGGGGATAGACAGTGACACTGGAACCAGCCGTGTCTCAAGAGTGTGACTAGAGCCATGATGAAGCAGAAAAAGAATCCCCATCCAAGGTCACGCCTTACAGTCATCTCTCCGATTTCACTAATGCAAATTGTATTGCATAACAAACAGAGCAGGATGCAATCAGGATTGGTGGAGGGAAGGAGGGCAGAGAAGAGAAGGCAGTCATCTTACCAGCTGGTTGCCCACTTAAAGGAGGGTTGATGCTGGGGAGAGTGCTACCAATGGTTGATGAGGCTTGAAGTGTAAATGTATTTGGGGGGGTGGGTCACTAACCCACTTGATCAAAATGTTTCTGAGTGATATACAGTGGTACCTCGGATTAAGTATTTAATTCGTTCTGGAGGTCCGTACTTAACCTGAAACAATTCTTAACCTGAAGCACCACTTTAGCTAATGAGGCCTCCTGCTGCCGCTGCACCGCCGGAGCCTGATTTCTGTTCTTATCCTGAAGCAAAGTTCTTAACCTGAAGCACTATTTTTAGGTTAGCGGACTGTGTAACCTGAAGCGTATGTAACCTGAAGCGTATGTAACCCGAGGTACCACTGTACAAAGAAAACTGGAAATAAAGCACAACTAAAACCCACAGCCTGATTAAAACAAATACATAAGGTATCATCTTTAAAAATATTATATAAACATAGGACGCAGGTGGTGCTGTGGTCTAAACCACTGAGCCATTTGGGCTTGCCAATCAGAAGGTCGGCAGTTTAAATCTGTACAACGGAGTGAGCTCCCGTTGCTCTGTCCCAGCTCCTGCCAACCTAGCAGTTCAAAAGCACACCAGTACAAGTACATAAATAGGTACCGCTCCGGCGGGAAGGTAAACGGCGTTTCCGTGCGCTGCTCTGGTTCACCGGAAGCGGCTTAGTCATGCTGGCCACATGACCCGGAAGCTCCCTCGGCCGATAAAGTTAGATGAGCGCCGCAACCCCAGAGTCGGTCATGACTGGACCTAATGGTCAGGGGTCCCTTTACCTTTACCTTACAAGTAGATAAATAGGTACCGCTGCAGCGGGAAGGTAAACGGCATTTCCGTGTGCTCTGGTTTCCGTCACTGTGTCCTGTTGTTCCAGAAGCGGTTAAGTCATGCTGGCCCCATGAGCCAGAAAACTGTATGTGGACAAACACCAGCTCCCTCGGCCTGAAAGTGAGATGAGCGCTGCACCCCATAGTTGCCTTTCACTGGACTTAACCATCCGGGGATCCTTTACCTTTACCTTTATACACACACACACACACAGAGAGAGAGAGAGAGAGAGAGAGAGAGAGAGAAGCATCCTCATTAAAAATATAAATGCAATAAATAACACATTTGAAACAGATACAGACAACTAAATGGAACTTCCATGTTCATAAGCAGTATACCTCTGACTACCAGATGCTGGGGGCAAGGGACAAGCAGCAATGGGTGAGTATCTCCTTCATGCCTGGCTGGTGAGCTTTGCGGTGGTGTCTGAGTGTCCACTATTGGGAAAAGGATACTGGATTCAATGGACCTTTGATATGAACCGCACGGCAAAGGCCTAGCACTGAGCAGAAGTCGTCTTGTTTTGCTACCCCATTTGCTGGTGGAGAAACACACACACTTTTCATGCTAGAAACCTCACCCAATTCAATGCAAAATGTCAAAAATAGAAAACTATTCTGCTGGCTCATCCCCCCCCCCAAAAAAAGGCTCAGTTTCTTTCACTGGTCATGGCAGCTGGAAAATCAAGAGGTGCAGCTTTCAGTCCCACTATGGGGTTTTCCCAATGGGTTATTGTTTCTCTGTAAACTAAAAGCACTTTACGTATGCAACTCTTTGACTCCCCCCACCTTTTAAAATTAGATATCTGCAAACTTGGAAAAAGAATTGGCTCCTGAGCCGAAGACCTAGCATAAAGGGAACCCTTTGGGCACTCCCAGACCAGAGCGGGTAACTTCCACCAAACCAGCTCCTATCCCAGCACACTTCATTTCAGAAAGTAACCGCTCCAGGGTAGGCCAAGAACTTAGTGTCAAACAGAATGAGCTTTAAGCAGGAAAGGGACTGTAGCTCAGTGGTAAGAGCATCCGCTTTGTGTCCCTGTCTCAGTCTCCAGCATTTCTGGTAAGGGATTGGAAAGACACCTGGAGAGTCACTGCCAGTCCATGTAGACATTACTGAGCTAGGTGTGGACTGAGTTATAAGGCAGCTTCCTGCCTTCCTATTTGTGGGGCACAGGGGGGAGAGAGATTGTGTAGGTAAATTACAAGAATCAGCCATTCTAGGATGTTTCTGTCACTCCCCCTGCAGAAACAAAAATTGCGAGAGGAGCTGCTGTTGCCTAATGTGAGGTTTTCTTCCTCGAGAGGCTTTGTGGGTTCCATTATCTGTGCTCCGCAGCCAGCCTCATGCCATCTCGCTGCTTCCTTTTTAAGCAACGTCCAGGCGGATTTCTCTGAATGAAAGGATGAGACAAGGAGAAAAGGATGGCAGAGGGGCCAGAAGGCGAGGGGGAGAGAGAAAGAGAAGAAACACGGAGAAAACCAGGGTCCTCTTGGCACAAATGTATTTGGGTGTGGTCTTCCTCAATGCCAGCAAGTCCCAACTTGGAGATCTAGCGAAGAAGCGGGGGGGGGGCTGTGTAAAGAAGGCAAGTCCTTCTGCCACTCCCTCCTCTTCCATTACTCAACCTCATTCCAGCTTCCAGTCTGGACGTGCAAAGCAGCAATAGAAGCAGCAGCTCAGAAGCTCTGGGAGAAGGAGATAATTCGCAGCCCAGGGAAAGGATGTGAAGGAAAGACGGAGGCACACAGAGCAAGAGAAGCTTCGCTGGGCTCCAGTCAGAGACCAACTCACCCATGTAAGTCATTGCATTGCAGGTTCAGTCAGGGCGAAGAACCATAAGCAGATCCAGAAGAAGACCACATTGTGATAGTTCAGGTTGGAAGTTTGGGGAAGATGAAGTGGGTAGGAAGTAGCCCAGATCTGGGATAGATCAAAATCAAGGTTGACGGTTTGGAAGCATGTGTGGCAATGTGTGAAAAGGATGCCAGGGGAAAAAACACACCCACAACTCTTTCTCTCTGAGTTACACAAGACAAAATATTGTTTTGCGTATTTTGCATGATGGTTGTTGTCAAAATAAAGGAACAGAAACATTGCACCACTCTGGAAAATTCCAGTGGAAAATTCCAGGCATTATCAGGAAAAGGGTATGAAAGTTAAGCTGCCCAGGATGATAATGCCCTCGTACTAATCCATGGGGAAGCCGCACTTGGAAACCTGTCTATAGTTGGGGTCAGCTGATGATAAAATGGATATCATAAAACTGGAAAAGGAACAGAAAAGGGCAACTCAAATGATTAGGGAATGTGGTGCTAGAACATCTTGCCCTTGAGGGAAGACTGAAAGCCACTAAGGGAGGGAAAACATGAGGGAGGTTTTTAAAAAATATTTTGCACCCTCTGAGGAATGTGCTTAGAGAGAGGCATGCTCATGCTTTCTCTCTCTTTCTCTTTCTGCAATAGAAATCGGGGAGCTTGTGAATCAATTGACATTGATTGGCAGGAGATTCAGGAAAGGCAGGAGAAAACTTTTTCAAATGATGACTTTTGAATGGAAGTTGCTGTCACAGAATGGAGTGACACTGGGCCGCAACCTCAGGGGGCTTTGAAATGGGGATGGTGCAAATTAATGGAGGATGGGTCTGTCCATTGGTATTATTAGACTTGATGGTTAAATGGAGCTTCCATGTTTGGTTGCAGCTGAATAACAGCTCCTGGGATCCAACCGTGAGGGAGGGCTGATGTCTTCCTGCCCTGCTTGATGGCTTCCATAAGACATCTGCCAGGCCAGTGTTGGTAGAGGGAAGATGCTGGACTCTGTGGTCCTTTGACCTGTTCGTTCTTACGTTCTTACATAGGGTGTGACCAAGAAACGGGACCAAGGACAGTGGTGCAGGTGAAAGGGGTGGCCCATGTTGCCTAGGGGCTGGGAGCCGTTGTGTGGTATAATACCATAAACAGAATAAAATGCAAGGCTAGGACACAGCTGAAAGGAAGGAGACAGAACCAAGGGAGGGATAGGAGCATAAGGGAGCTGTGGGCACCCACAATAATATAATTGTGGAGGCCAGGCACCCACAAAGTCAATGAAAAAAATCGGCAGGGAGAGAAGCAGTTCAGCTCCATCCTCCGCAGCCAATCAGCTCAGGCACAGAGACCCGTGGATAGGAGGGAGGGAGGAGAATACAATTGGCCTTCTCTAACACACACACCAAATCATTACCCCTGATTCTGAAGCTTCACGGGCAGTTGCTTAGATCATCTTCCTCCCTTCCTTCTGTTGCCCCAGCTTTGCCGAATTCCAATTTGCAATCTCCTCAGGACAGGAACATTTTCCTCTAGTTGTCATTCTTCCCTATTGATGGAGTAGTAAAAACATCACCATCATCACTTCATAGGTAAAGGTAAAGGGACCCCTGACCATTAGGTCCAGTCATGGCCGACTCTGGGGTTGCGGCACTCATCTCGCTTTATTGGCCGAGGGAGCTGGCGTACATGTGGCCAGCATGACTAAGCCGCTTCTGGCAAACCAGAGCAGTGCACGGAAACGCCGTTTACCTTCCCGCTGGAGTGGTACCTATTTATCTACTTGCACTTTGATGTGATTTTGAACTGCTAGGTTGGCAGGAGCAGGGACCGAGCAACAGGAGCTCACCCCATCACAGGGATTTGAACCGCCGACCTTCTGATCGGCAAGTCCTAGGCTCTGTGGTTTAACCCATAGCGCCACCCGCCTCCCCTCATCACTTCATAGGCTAACATTAATATTATTAATATTATTGATATTATAATTGTCGTCGTCATGCCCTTCTTCCTAAAGGAACCCGGGACTCTGCACTGCAAGCCATACAAATATACTCAATAATCAAAACATTTTGAAAGTTACAGTGTATACATAAAAGAGAGAGGCCCCTGCCCCAGTGAGCTTACAGGATCAATTTCAGGGAGTGTAATAGACCACAGCGGGAAAGAGAGATGCAGATAAAGCACGAGATGGCTGTGAGCAAAATAGACTGCAATTTGTGGCAGCCAAGGTGGACAGGGGTTAAGGCGCAATTCAGTTCCTCCTGGCTCAAGCTTTTCTTCTTCTTCCTTCCTGACAGGGAGTCCCCAGCCCCTCTTTCCAGTGGTGCCACCAACAACTGCACCCACACCTCTGGAAACAGCACCCTCCTGACTTCCCCGACCTCCAGTGTGACTGGCATTGTCTTCCTACTCCTGGCTGCCCTTATCGGGCTGCCTGGAAACCTCTTTGTCATTTGGAGTATCCTCTGGAAGATGAAGCCGAGTCACCGCTCAGTCACCTGCCTCCTAGTCGTTAATTTGGCAGTGGCCGACGGGGTCGTGCTTCTCCTCACTCCTTTCTTCATCATCTTCCTCATCTTCAAGAACTGGCTATTCAGCCTAGCAGTTTGCAAAGGGGTCTACTACCTGTGCTGCATCAACATGTTTGCCAGCATCTTCATCATCACCCTCATGAGCGTGGACCGGTGTCTCGCAGTCAACCAGCCCTACTTCTCCCAAGCCATTCGCAAGAAGCACTTGGTGGTAAAGATCCTGTCAGGGATTTGGGTGGCAGCCATTTTGTTATCCATCCCGGCCCTCCTTTTCCGACAAGTAGTCAAGGATCCCTCAGGGAGGTACATCTGTGAGCCCTGCCACCCCAGGCCGAGCCTGACCATCTTCCACTTCACCTTGGAAACCGTGGTGGCCTTTGTGATACCCTTCACCATCATCGTCGGCTGCTATTCTGCCGTTTTGATCCGCCTCAGGGGAGTGAAGCGGAGACAGGGGGCTCGGACCGAGAAGCTCATTGTCGCCATTGTCATCTGCTTTGCTGTCCTCTGGGTGCCATACCACATCGTCAACGTGCTCCAGGTAGCTTCTAACCTGTCGTCAGGGCGGACGGCGGAACGACTGGGGCAGGCTTGGAAGAGTGGCAGAGCGGGTGCCACAGCCTTGGCATTCCTCAGCAGCAGCATCAACCCTGTGCTCTATGTCTTCGTGGCTGGGAACCTCATCAAGACCTCCGGGGCCAACTTCATCGCCCAGTTCTTTGAGGGGGCATCCGATGGGCTCGGCAGAAGATCCCAGTCCCACAAAAACCTGGCCAAAGACTTGGTGGTGGTGGCAGGAGCTGCCATGGGCATGGACCAGCAGCCCCTGGAGAGTTGTGACGGGCTGGACAAGGACCAAGATGGAGGGCCGGGTCTTGGTGGCACAAGAGAGCAACTCGGATATAGACACTCCTAGACTGAATCATACCAGGTTTCAACACAAGATGTAATTTATGCTTTATGAGTCAGTCCTGCCAGCTCAGTATTGTTTACACCAGGTATCTTCAACCTTTTCAGACTCAGGTCCAACTTATAATGCAAACATGCATTGGGGGACCCGTTTCTTTACCTTTTGCATAGATTTGCATGGTGGGAGTGCTCCTGGTGTGATCCATCTTGGATCGAGCCACAACCCACTAATGGGGCCTGACCCACCAGTTGAAGACCAGTAGCTCTGTGACTAGAGCAGCTCCCTGGGGTCTAAAGCAGTGTGTTTCCCCAGCCTGGCTGAGAGATGCTCAGCATTCAAGCTGGGACCTTCTTTACACAAAGCATGTCCTCTACTGCTGAGCCATCTCCATCTGCTAAGCCTGGCTGTCTTAGCTACTCTTTTTTTGGAAACTTGGCTTCTAGGAAACTCGTTGAGACCATGTCCACACTACAAAGCTGCTAAATGACTTCCACAGCTATTGTTCCTTCAACCCAAGTCAGGTTTAATCTGATGCTCAGTGCACTAAGCTTAGTCATATATATAAAGGTAAAGGTAAAGGGACCCCTGACCATTAGGTCCAGTCGTGACTGACTCTGGGGTTGTGGCGCTCTTCTCGCTTTATTGGCTGAGGGAGCCGGCGTACAGCTTCCGGGTCATGTGGCCAGCATGACTAAGCCGCTTCTGGTGAACCAGAGCAGCGCACGGAAATGCCGTTTACCTTCCCACCGGAGCGGTACCTATTTATCTACTTGCACTTTGACGTGCCTTCAAACTGCTAGGTTGGCAGGAGCTGGGAGTGAACAACGGGCACTCACCCCGTCGCAGGGATTCGACCCCCCGACCTTCTGATTGGCAAGTCCTAGGCTCTGTGGTTTAACCCACAGCGCCACCTGTGTCCATATATATATGTGTGTGTGTGTGTGTGTGTGTGTGTGTGTGTGTGTTTCCGCCTTCAGGGCCAGATGTGAAACTTATAAAACAAAGGGTGACTCTGGGCATATACAGAGTGTCTCCCTCCTCAATAAATAATTTACACTTGAGGGATTAGAGACAGGGAAGAGCCACACCTCTCAGTTCTTAAATTAAGTACAACAGAAATGTTGGAGGGCAATAGTACAGTATAGAAGTGGGGGAAATGTAGGTGAAGAACTGCTGTTAGATTTGCTGTAGCTCAACAAGCATTTCTGAGTCCCATTTGTTTCACAATAGCAACAGCCTTTCTTATTCCAAATTATTATTATCATTCTATTATTACAAGAGTTAATATACCACTTAGCACTGCGGCCTTTGCTCCCTTTTCCATTTTATTTGTGCTTTAACAGTAAATTGGTACATCCATTTCACAATATTCTTCATTATCCTTTTACATTATTCCACTTCCCCACACACCCTTCCATGGGTTCCTTTTTATTCTTAGTTGTGCTACATATCTTTCTACACCTTCTAATTGATTTAGCTGCTGTTCCTATATCCAGTCCTACTTGGAGATTTATGTAACTGTTATAATTATTTTAAAATTCCCCAGAGTTTTCCTACTCCTCTCTTACGGTATGTTCATCCTGGTTTCTTACATTTGCAGTCAGCCTCGCTTACTCCACGTGTTCTATTAACTTATTCTGCCAATCCTCTTTTGTTGGACTGTTTTGTTGGTCCTTCCACATTTGTGCATAGGCTATTCTGGCCGCGGGACATGGGTGGCGCTGTGGGTTAAACCACAGAGCCTAGGACTTGCCAATCAGAATGTCGGCGATTCGAATCCCCGTGACGGGGTGAGCTCCTGTTGCTCAGTCCCTGCTCCTGCCCACCTAGCAGTTCAAAAGCACGTCAAAATGCAAGTAGATAAATACCTTCCTCTGGCGGGAAGGTAAACGGCATTTCCGTGCACTGCTCTGGTTCGCCAGAAGTGGCTTAGTCATGCTGGCCACATGACCCGGAAGCTGTACGCTGGCTCCCTTGGCCAATAAAGCAAGATGAGCGCCGCAACCCCAGAGTTGGCCACGACTGGACCTAATGGTCAGGGGTCCCTTTACCTTTACCTTATTTTGGCTGCAGCAGTTGCTTAAAGAAAAAGATTTAATACATTCTTAGGTATCTCATCCTCTATTATACCCAAAAGGAACATGTCGGGGGGGGGGGTTGGGGGGTGTCATCCTTAACATCCTTTTTATTTCCCTCAATATTCCTTAGATTTCTTACACCCCCACCGCATGAGCACTGTGGATTTACACCAGGGTTAGGAAATATACAAGATCGATCAGAATTAACCATAAAATCAGGAAAGCTTCTTTAAAATGCCTGCTAAAATAGTCTTCACTAAATGCTTCACCAAGGGAAGGGGCCTGTCAGTCAGGAAGAAGTTCTGCAGAAATGGATGCACAATGCTGAACGCAGAGTCATGGGGGAGAGGGGTTGCTAACAACAACTCCCTCCAAGATCTCTGTGATCAGGGAGGCATGTAAAGTATCAGATGGTTCTTGAGGTATCGTAGACACAAATTGCTAAGGGCCTTGTAAATTACTCCAAGAACCGTGAACTTGGCCCACTAGCATATGGTCAACCAGTGCAAACTTTTAAGTCTACCCTTGAAATTTCGCACCAGCTGGACCTTCCAGACCAGTTTTAAGTAAAATGGGAACATAGGAAGCTGCCCTATACTGAGTCAGATCATAGGGAACCTCAGGAAACAAAAAACTGCCTTGGACTTTGGTCCATCTCATCCAGTATTGTCTACACTGACTGGCAACAGCTCCTCAGGATTTCAGACCAGAAGTCTCTTCCCAGTCCTACCAAGAGAAGCTGGGGATCCTGGACTTTCTGCAAGCAAAGGATACACTCCACCATTTAGCTACAGCCCTTTCCCAAATTTGGCTGATGAAATCAGGCTTGAATAGGCTGCTGAAATGAGGAAAGTTTTGGGGCAGGTGGGGAACCAACAACAGGTTTTGCGCAGAAAAAGAAATGTGAGCTCAGTTCTGGTACTGAAAACAAATTCCTCAGCTCAGATGAGCCCAGATGTTCCTTAATTCTAAAGCCATCTCTCTTTCTAAGCCCCTTTCTAAGCTTGCTTTGCTCCTTGGGGCTGGGGTCACAAAGATGACAAAGGAGATCCCACATTTTTGAAGTTTGCTATGTGTGAAGGAGATCAGTGTTGTCTAATCAGCGACTCAACTAAGGTTGCAGTATTTTACCAAGTTGCTGTTGTTGAGCTTTTTTTTGTTTTTTTAGGAAACCAAAGGTGGTTGGAAATATATTTCTTTTTTTATATATATATAAAATATTTATTAAGATTTTACAATAAACATAGGTTTAAAGAGTTAAAAAAATTAAACCGAAGATTACACAAAAATAGAAAAGGAAAAAAGATAACAAGAAAAATACCTTAAAAAGAGGACCTAGAAGAGAAAAAGAAAAATACAAAATACAAAAAACAGATGGCTAAAAAGAAGAAAGAGAAAAAAAAATTAAAAAAGAAAAAATCCATTTTTCAATATCTTTAGACTCATTTACTTATTTCCTTGACCTCCTCACACCTCCCCTTTTTGTATTCCCGTTTACAAAATCCTTTCAGCAAATCCTTACCCTCTTTCATTTATCTTTACTCTGTATCTTAACCTATTATAACTATATATTTTCATCCATATAACAATCTATATTTGCATATTCTTATTAACCTTATTACCAAAACCACTTATTTCCATTCCAACATCATTTTAACATTCATTAATTTTACAGTATTTCTGCAAATAGTCTTTAAATTTCTTCCAATCTTCTTCCACCAACTCTTCTCCCTGGTCTCGGATTCTGCCAGTCATTTCCGCCAATTCCATATAGTCCATCACCTTCATCTGCCACTCTTCCAGGGTGGGTAAATCTTGTGTCTTCCAATACTTTGCAATAAGTATTCTTGCTGCTGTTGTTGCATACATAAAGAAAGTTATATCCTTCTTTGGCACCAATTGGCCGACTATGCCCAGGAGAAAGGCCTCTGGTTTCTTCAAGAAGGTGTATTTAAATACCTTTTTTAATTCATTATAAATCATCTCCCAGAAAGCCTTAATCCTTGGGCTTATAAAAAACCAAAACAAACCTTGCTGTAAGGTTAGAAATATTCCACATCAAGATGGATAACATGCCCTTACAGCAAGGTTTGTTTTGGTTTTTTAATAAGCTAAAATGGGCTAGGGTGTGCCCATAAGGAAAGAGATCTGTAGATCCACTCTGACAAAACCTGCATAGTATTCCTTCACTATCTGCCTGCAGCACAAGTGCCCATTTTTAGAAGTTAAGAGTGGTGAATTCATTCTTGTTTTCTGAAGGTAGCAGGATCCAGTAGGGGCTTCTACACACGAACACATCTCTATTTCCAAAGTTCATGCTGTGAGCATCATTGCTTTTGCAGCCGAATGGGCGCAGCCATGATGCAGCTATTGCCAACAAGCAGGGGGCAATCCAAGGTTTTCAGAAGGGCTAGGGAGGGAAACTCCAAGTGGGGAAACTCCAAAATCAGTCCGATGAGGACTAAGCATGCTCAGTGGCCATGGAATGCCAGCTCATTATTGGAGGACGGGAAGAAATCAGAATTTGGATGTGAACAGCAGCACTCCACGTCACACATTTTGTCGCAGGTCTCACTTTTGAAACAGTTATTCTGCATGTGAAACCTCCTTTCCATATGCTGAAGAGGAGTAAAAATCCAAAATACATCAGTAGTCCATCCTTATTTGTGTCAGATTGTTTGCAATAATAAACTAATGATTTCTTGTGAATTGCTGAGATGTGCCCATTTGTTGTTGTTTTAAATGAAGCGTCAGTGAAAATTTCAGGTATTGTAAGCAGAGTGAGAGAGAGAAAAAAATATGGATGATATTAGAATTGGGGTCGGCCCTACTGTTAGGCAGAGTGAGGCAGATGCTTTCAGGTACTGTTGACAGTGTAAGACTCGGCTGTCAGTCTGATCAACTTCTTGTTCAGTGGTACCTTGGTAC